GAAGTAAATATTTATTAAAATTGTTGATTTTTTGAATTGCCAATATTCAAATTTCAGATTGTATTAAATAAATTCAGTTACATAAATAAAACGTATACATAAAACGTATTATTAGTAGGTTTTAATATTGTTTGACACTTTGTTATGGTGTTTATTAAACTCGATATTTTCGAATACATAGATTTTTCCAACGTTAAGGAGTATCTCATGGTGATAACAACTTTGTTTTTTTCAAATGAGAACATATGTCAAAAATTCCGTAAATAGACGGATTATTACTTTAAAATAATTTTGATGACAACATTTTTAATTTCCGTCAAATTGTTAACGAGATATTCTACTTTTAAGTTTAGGTAGTGAAGAGTTGTGGTGTTTCATTTGTGTGGCGGTATTTTATTTATCACCACATGATACTCCTTAAATGTTTTGAAATGTCTAAGTATTAGAAAGCATCGCCTATAACTACACTTAAAATTCTAAATTCGAAATTTGAATGTATACAAAATTTAGCTAAAAAACAAATTTGGTTGACACGCTTAGTGAATCATTCTGTATTTATAATATATACGTATAGTGTATTTATAATGATAATTAAATGGTAACCGAATATTAAACTAAAATATTGTTATATAATTTTTTGATATATTTAAAATGAATGAAAATATAATGTTACTATTTTGTATTTTTTTCATCTAGAGACAAGATCCCAAGAACGTAATTGATTTTATAAAATTGCATGTAGTTTTCAAAATTGCTCATACTCTCATAGTGTCAGAAATTATATATAACACACGGAATATTTTATAACTAGAAAAATATAAAAAGCAAAGATCAAAATCATAATTTTTAATGTTGAGAGTCTTTTTATGCGAATTATTGGTTGTCTTGTTGTCTATTATAATTTTAAAAAACATACATTTTTAAACTCTTTAAATTTTTTACTTGATCAAAGTCTTTTTGACACATCACTACTATCAAAATATGAATGTCTATTAAACCACCAAATATATAAAAGTATTAAATACATGTATCACTTTATAGTAAAATAATAACATAATATTCGTTATACGTTTTTTTTACTATTACCTATATGTGGTACATTTTCAATTTTTCCTCCGTTTTTCCCAATTAATGGAAAACTCCTGAGAAAGTCATAAAATTAACCTCCTTAAAGTATATGTAGATAACATTTTCTTTCAGAAAACTAGATTTCACAAATATTTTTCTACTTAAATATTTTCTGATAATTTCATATTCGGTTTAAATACGGTCGGTTGAAATATGTTCGGGTAAAATACAGTTCGGCTGTTTTATAGCCCATCGTATTTATACATAAGGCCAGTATATTTTTATTGAATTAATTAATAGTATTGACAAATAAGCAAAATCTATGATGGGTGGTAATATTCAAAATAAAATTGAATTTTTTTTTCTAGCGGGACAGTCTAGTCATGAGGAACAACGTAAGTAATTCTATTTTTTTTTTTTTTCTAATATTCTAGGTAGGTTTATAACTAAATAGTTAACTAGATAAGACTTTATACACTTGGTGATTCACTTAGCGTGCTCTTCTCAAATTGTTTAGTGACGGGGTGGGTAGATGCCATATCTTGCTCCTCTTTTGGGAGAATATGCTCACATGGTTGCTGTACCTGTTATTGGCAATAAATGATATTTATGATAGCAGATGTTTTTTGTACTATACATGTTCTTCTCGATTTGTAGAACGCTGTTAGACAACTTTGTTGGTTTGATAACTAGCAGAATTTGGAACGTGATTATTATGTTCGGTAACTTCATTATTTTGTCATCTACCGCGTATATCCGTACTTTACATTGAATTTTTTTGTACTCTGAACATTTCCAATTCATAATATTTTTGGGTTTTCGTTCTTTTACGTATGATAAACCTTCATAGAAGAGTATATATTTTTTTCACTTAATACGTACTCTAAAGCCATATTCTAATTGTAAATTAAAATTGTACAGTACTTTCACTGGACGAAGTTATTAGTAGACCGACTCGTTTTATGGGTTGTATACGGGCACAGATAAGATATCTACGTAGACATCTTAATCGTATAGCTAAACATATAGTTTTATTTATACCCATGTCCATGTATAAAAATAATACAAATAATGAAAATATTTTTCATGGCAGTTTCATTATTACATTCTTTTGAAATTGTTTAAATTGTGATCAATTACTGTGCAGTAAATTGCCATTGTGATCAATTTTCGTGCGATCAATTGTTTGCAGTCAATTGACGTGCGATCAACTGTTTGCGATCTATTGACAGGACACCGTTGTTGGTGGGTATTGGGGAAGGTGAGATACATAATGTTATTTAATTTATATCTGTAACCAACGACAAACCAATGATAACGAAAAACGATTTGGAGCGAAGTTCGCTAATAGATGTTTTGAAAGGCCATAATATTTATGATATTAGTTAAAATTTCTTTATAAAAAAAAAAAACTACTACATAAAACCCACTTTTTTTTTCAACTACACAGTACGACTTTTTTGGAAGCTCCTGTTAAATTTTCAAGCATTTCTGTTTAGTCTAATAATTTTATCTACGGAGTACCTACCGAGTAAAATTTATGTATAAAACTTCCAAAATTTAAATGTCTATAATAAGCTAAAAAATTGATCAAATATTATGAACACTTTAAACGTCCAGAAAAAGCAAAAATAAGTTGTTTTTTTTTAAATGTTTAAGTCTCTATGAATATATTAAACTACTACTATACATTAAATAAACAAAATTGAATATAATAAAATAATTATTTTCCTACATTTTCCTGTACTTTCTGCATTTTTTGTCGGTAATCCTCAATTATTAAATTAATTACAATAACCCATTTTCTTGTTCACCAACTAGATTACAAATTAAACATAACAAATGTCTGGGTGGTTTTATATTGGAGCAATATTTATGGTAGTAAACATAAGCCATACATATTAAAAATAATGAAATCGTGTCATAAATTGAAAAAAAATCGTATATTTCGTCTTTTGTGGTTTAGGTATCAAAAACCACTTTCATCGTCAATGGCAAAATACTATAAGGGACAAAATCGATTAATTGTCATTTTTGAATCGAAGCAATATTTCTTTTAGAAACATCTCGCTGGCAAAATAAAAACAATGAAATTAGTAACGCCACAGCATGTCGTAAATGTTTGCCGTTTTGCCTTTTCTTTTGGGTTTTTCCCAAATTTTTTCAAAAACCCCTCGGAAAATTGGAAAATGACCTCCTTCATGCATCAATAAGAGAAAATTATCTTTCAAGAAAGGTACCACCGTCTATACGGTCTACACGGAGGAAGTTATCTGGTAAAAAAGCTATTCATAGATAGAAAAAAATTTAATACAAATACTCACATCACAGTATAATCAATAGGTCCCTCGCTACGCTACAAATTTAATATATCCATCATCTTCGATATTAAATAAAACACATTTTCGTATAAAAATGTTTTTTCTATTATTATTATAAAAAAATACTTTTTTTTTTTGTTTTTATACGTTTTATATATTTATACAATTTAATATAATATAAGTACCTACATGTATTAAAATTTAATATAAAGTGCGACTACGAACAATAAAAATAAAATTTTTTTTGTACTGTTTAAAAAATATATATATAATACAAGACGTTTCCTAAGTCTTCATCTGATTTAAAAAAATTATATTTATGACCCCCGGCCGCCCGACATACATCCATACAGTATTTAAATTCCTCCCAAACATTGCTGTTATTATATCTTGTGTCACAGCATTCACAGCATCTACAATCCCGGTTTTGAGATCTTCCAAGTATGTAGGTAATGTTGGTACATAAACTTTATTTTTTACATAGGCCCATAAAAAAATTACACATTTTGAGTTCTGGGAAACTTGATGGACAGAGAATCATCAAATCATTGTCCAATCATCACTATTTCGAAACTAACTGACGGCAGTTCACTAATCATTACAGCATTGATAAGTAACATAAGTAACATAAAATAAACTAAAAATAAACTTGACTACCTTATCTTTCCATTAGTATATGGGTCGTTAACCAGCGATCAACGATTGCTGAGCTATATAAGTTCGTAATCGGATGAAAACTTTTGAAACACTTTGTATAGTAGCAACTAAACAGTGTTAGTTAAAATTGTTTGAATTTATTACTGTGATATGGTATACAATTTCCAATAAAATGTATTGTTGTTTACTTTAACTTTTAGTATTCCCATAGAATAACCTTTACCTAAAATGAGTACAGATAAGAAAAATTGTGCCGTACCTGTACCAAAGTTCTGTGCAACCTATGATCATTTTATTCGGCATATTTTAAAGTTAATATTGGGAATATTAGGTATGAAAAACATCGAATATACTTTGGTAATAGAAGTTCGTAAATAAAAAATAAATTGTTTAATTATTGTTAGACTTGAGATACTAAGTAGAAACCAAATTCATACCCTTGGTAGGGTTCGATTTTTTGATTTTAATGATATTGCCATGATATACGATCATAAATTATGATACTTACATGGGGAAAATTTATTTCGTTAACAAAACAGTTTTTTTTTTTTTTGTCATAACCGTATGATAAATATTAATATTTTATAGTGATATTATTAATTATATTATATAATTGAATTATAATTAGAATGTTATTAATTTGTTTAAATTATTGTTTTCTTTAGAAGAAGATTCAGATTATGGTAATTTTAATGATTTTCTTTTTAATTATGTTAACGTACCCAGTTTTTAATATTGCAGGTCATATTTATATTATATTATAATAGTTAATATTGAGAATGGTTGGTACAAGCAGTGGCGTACATTCAAATTTGATGTGGGGGGGGGTTGAATAAAAATAACCAACACTAAAACCTTCTTTTTAAAACTACCCATTTTCCTAAAAATCAAACACATTACACGTATAAATATTAATAGGCAAAATAGCAAAACAAATACAAAGGTTTACGTAACTCATGGCAAGTTTGGGTGAATTTCTTTAATGTGAGCCTGGACACCATTAAATTTTCCGGCCATTGCAGCTGCCCCGTCATATCCTTGCCCGCGTAAATATTGAGTATTGATACCAAATTGTTTAAGATTTTCTAGGATTAAATTTGCTATTCCTTTACCAGTCATAGCATTAGTTGGTACAAATTGTAAAAATTCTTCAGTAAGTTTTAATGTGTTTGAGTTGATATATTTAACACATAGCGATACCTGTTCCACTCCTGAAATATCCGCAGTTTCATCAGCAAGAATTGAAAAACATTTTGCTGTATTTACTCTAAAAACAACTTTGTCCAATAAAATTTTGTTACAACCATCAATCATATTATTTTGACTTCTATGACTAGTATATTTCATCTTTCCCGAGCTTTCCAAATAGGTTTTCATTTCAATATCTCCTTGAGCTCGGTATCGTAAAATTTCTCTGAAATTATCTTCATTCATAACTTTTAAGTCATTGATTTCAATTTTTCCTGAATCGCGGTGTCCTCTTAATGCCAAGTTTTGACGGCCGCATAAAATAACTGCCTCAATTATTGAAATAATATTTTTACGATTTTGTAATATTTGTTTGTTTTTTTCGTTGTCAATTATTTTATCGATTGCCCTTGTTGGATTGTTAAGCATATTTAAGAAATTATCGGCATCTAGTAAAACTCTTTTTGTGATATTCTAAATTCGAATGATTTTTAAAGTCTCCAATGCATGTTTCCAATCATCATATTTTTTTAATACAAATACTCCCAATTTTTGGTTATTAACACCGGCTTCATTTTTAGTAAAAGCAAAACAATATTTGCAATACACACCATTGTTTACTTCTGAATAAGCCAACCAGGGAGAGTTAATAAGCCATTTATATTGAAATTTTAACTTCAAAACTTTTTGTTGTTTACCGATTACTGATATTTTGATAGGAAAATTGTAATTAATTTCAGGGACCCAAATTTTGCTCAAAATTTCTTCTATTTCACTTCTTCTATTTCTTCTATTTGCTTTAATAATTTATTTGTGTAATGTGCAATGTCAAAAATATTATAACTGGGAAATGTACGATTAATATCTGTAGTCGAAGGTGTGAACTGAGTGATAGGTGTATCAGATACAAATACAGTTGATTGTAATGAGGAACTAGAGGAACTTATAACTGTTTGAGTTGCATTCAATGAATTCATTATTGAGGGTGATTTTGAAAAAAAAGATTGTATTTTCCGTTGTTTTTTTTCAGCCATGATTACTATTTATTTTATAATGATAATCTTAACTAAATACTAACCTATGGTTTATGGAGTTCAATGTTCAATTGTTAACATAAACTTCTCCAACAGCAGAATAGAACAGAATGAACGAACATTTCATAATTAAATATTTTAAAATTGTCATTTACGATAGTGCTATAAAAATAGAATCCATTTCACCGTTATATTGTCGCTCACGAGAAATTCAACGATTATAACCGATAACGTAATCGGTTTTTTCTCCGTTTTCTGATCGAGTCGGTNTGTGTACGATCAAATGTCAATTTTGATTGATATACGGCACTCATAATTTCGTTATAAAATCTTTTTTTATTGTTGGTAAAGTATAGTGTTTACTTAATAGTCATATTATTATGACGTATGTTTGTATATACACAGATGATTAATAATAGGAAATTCATCAATAATATCACAATTTTTTTTTTTTTGGTCGTGGGGGGGGAGGTTTGAACCCGAACACCCCCTCCCGTATGTACGCCACTGCGTGTTTTTATTGATTCATCCGGATGTCTATTAGTCATATTGTCACCAATACTTGCAAGATTATAATATAAAATATGGAATGTGAAGAAATACATCAAATATATCAATCACTATGTCGGTAATTGGTATATAACTATTTTAATTATATATAGATTTATTCATGACCAAGTTTTAACTTTAAAAATACAATTTGATTTTGAATCTGTTTATTCAGATAATACACCAATTGCGGTGGAAATAAACAAAAATAATTCAGAATTTTTAAAAGGTATAAGTATTTTGAAATAATTATAGCATTATTTTTTCTTCAACAATTTTAATGCTGGTATTGTTGTTCATACTTGCTGTGAGGTCATGGAGACAGTACAGCAGTCGGTTTTTGTAAATCTTAAGTCGTTTGTAAAAAAAAAAAAAAGACTTTGCCCAGGGTACACTACGTGGAAGCGATTTACCTTTGTACCCCAGTCGTCCAGGTGAGAGACCGCGGTGGGCGTAAAGGTGCTACAGACGTCACTAAAATNGTCAACACTATAATTGTTTACAATCATATGTGACTACTACTTATTGAAAAAATCAAGTTTTGTTGAAATTCCGGAATCTGAAGAATCTGAAATATGGATTTTAATCTAAATCCGGATCCAGGAATTTTAAATTTAAATTTTTGATTTTGAAACTTTCAATTAGTATTCTTTTGTATATTAGTTATAATAATGTTTTATTAATTATACTTGTTATACTAATATACTCGTCATTATTACTTATTATTGAATGTTTTTTATAACCTTAGTAACAATACCAGGAGGTAAGTTATTATAATAATAGTTAAATTAAATATAAGTTATCAACATTCCTTATATTCCTTATATTTGTCAACATAATTTAGTTATCTATTAGGATAATGAGCAATTTCAGTAGTATAAAATAAAACGAAAAAAAAAATTATACCATTATGAATTATAATGATACATTTTATTGAATTACTTTGTTTACACTAGTACCTGTACTACAATCCCTAACACGTAAGTTATTTTTTTGATATTCCTTATTCCTTATATTTCTCATTATAGTTTACATATCTATTAGGATAATGAGCAATTTCAGTAGTATAAAATATGATTAATATTATAAATATAATATAACTTGTATTATACTAATATTTATTGATTATTTAACGAATAAACACATTAATATTTAAAAATGTGTAGTATAATTATTAATTATTTCTGGAGTAAAAATTATAATGATATTAATAATCTTTTTAGTTCTATATTTTTCTAGCACAAAATTTAATGGATAATTTGTAATTTTTTTAATATTTACCTTTACCTTTACGAGAAGAGAACAGAATATTCCCGCTGTGCTTCTATCTGTCATAAGTTGCGACAAATGGGCTTGCAATAGGTCGCAAGCCAGTATTCAATTCTGCCAAATAGTATGAAGCGTTCTAATAAAGACATTAGTAAATTGTTCCATGTCGGATATGTGTAGGGACAAGTGACTATGTTTGTAAACTTGCTCTGCTTACAATTAAAGTATGAATTGGGGAAAAATAGTGGTGCGTTGTTAAAAAGTCGCACGCTACCCCGTCCTACCACTCAAAAAATGATCCACTACTATTCCTCGATCAAAATTAAAATGGGGAATATTCGTCACCGGATTGACGGGAATCATACATTTCAACACCAACATTTATTTCAACTAATAGTCCATCTAATTATAGAAATTTTAATAAAGGTTATCCTAATTTGAAAATAAAATGTAATTAATGGATTTTTATCCAAAAGTAATGCTGAAAAAATATAAAAAATATAAAAATATAAAAAAATAAATATATAAATAATAAATAATATTTTATAACAAATTGATCCCCTAGAATTTAAAACAGAATTCCCAAAATTCGAAGATTTCCAACGAAGGTATACCAATTGTAATATCTCCTAATATCATTAAGATAGTCAATTTCCATTTTTTTCTTTCTAATATTACTTGCACAGCAAAGGACACCAAATATTAGTTTCTTAGTGAAACGAAGAAGCTTATAGTTTTACAAAGATGTTTATTTTTTTTTTAACTTTGTTCAACTTTTTTACCCGAAGACCTGCTCGGATTTCTACGTGTAGCACTTTTCTAAAAGGAACTCGGTATGGAGAGATACTATAGAGAGGTCATTTTTCGATTTTTTCAAGATTTTTCCCAGAAAATATGAAAAACCTAGATAAAACATGGGTAAAACGAGAAAAACGCAGAAAAATTGAAAAAATCGGTACAATGTTAAATAAATCTTATTTAAAAAAATATATAGATCTAATTTAATTATTTTAATATAAAATGACATAAATTGTAAACAAATCATCAATATCAAATAAACTCCGCTCAAAATTATTTTTTTGTAAACAATGGTTTATTGTTGCTTACAGGTATACATTAAATCATGTTTAATCCTCATTATTCTAGGACGTCTTTTTATATTCGAATTCAATTTTGTGATTTTCTATAAAAACTAAAAAGATATTGAGGACGGGTGTGGCCATTGTTGTAGATAGGTTTTGGGGAAGATGGAATTCATAAAGTTATTTAATTTATACCTCCAATCAACGATAAACCATTGATAACAAAAAACGATCCGGAGCGAAGTTCGATTAAATAAGTTTTGTATGTTCATAATATATACGATTTTCATCAACATTTGATTTTAAATATAAAAAAAAAATAAAACATTACCTTAAAATTTTTTTTCTTTACCACAAAGTACGACTTATAATAAACTTAGCAACAAATTTTAAAGCAAATCTGTCAATTTTAACAATTTATCTGCATACTAAAAACTCGAAAAAGTAATATTTTTATCAGGAGAGCTTACCACGTCTAGAAAAGTAAAATACTATAAGTTTTCTCTTAAAATTTTAAGTCGTTCGGAATATTTTAAACTGAATTACAAAAACAATATGTAAGATATTAAAATATGTATATTAGTACAATTTCCCTTTCTTAACGTATTTTTGGCTTTGCTCAATTATCAAAAATTTCTTAGATAATCAAAATCTTGACTTTCTTTGTCACCAACTAAATTAAAAATTCAGGGAAAAAGATCTTTTGGTGTTTTTTATTAAAGCAATATTTATGGTAGAAAATATAAGCCGTACAAATTTAAAATAATAAAATCGTTGTGCTGTAATTTGAAGAAATCGTATATTTCGCCTTTTTCGGTTTTCCTAATTATTATGAAAATTATGATATTGTAGCAGTATGAGTTTTATAAGTAGCGTCCACTGTGTATGTATATTAAATTTATATGAAAAAATAGTGAACGATTTTTGTAATACATATTTTAATTAATACAAGTGAATTACATCAATTTAATTTATAATGTAATGTAATATTAATATTATTTTTATTATTCTAATATCCATATTTCAGCACCGCCAGAACCAGGACGTGAGTTATTTATTTAATATTTCAAATAGTTCTCATAAAAAATCTATGTAGTAAGAAAGTAGCTACATTGTCATCAGCGTACATTAGATAAGCAATATTATAACAATTCGGACAGTCTCTTATTACATGGGCTTAATAGTAGTCGTTATTGAGAGTATTTTAAAAATTTATAAAAAACAGAAAGCCAGAATTAATAATTTTCGGAATGCAATGAATGAATTAAAATCGGTTTTACACACTTAGTGGGTTTTGATTTTCGGATTATAATGATAAAACTGTGATATTTAATCTATAATATTTAGGATCTTAAAGAAATGAAATTTTCTCACATAACAAAACTGTTTCCTGTAACCAACATAATCATTTCACAGATATGAATATTGCATGGATTTTGTTTTATAACAAATAATATTTTATTAATTAACTATAATTTTATTATGTACACAAATGTATGTATACTAAAAAAAATGGATTATTTTAATGGCATCCATTTGAATAATATTTATGGTTTGTATATCTTGTTTTTTTTAGAACCACTAGTGGAAGGTATTGTTTTTTTTTTAATAACAAATATATTTAGTTTGTAATATTCCAGGACATGTTTTATAGTTTAAAAAAAGCAACATAATGAATGGTAGACGAGTGTAAATAATAATAATTAACCAGGCAGTAATTTGTATTGATTTTCTATAACTACTTAACAGTTAGGCCCGGGTCCTTCAAATGCCGTGACAAAAATTCGTTTATTTATAATAATACAGTAATTTATCAATTTTATTAACCCTCGTAGATATTGTATTGCTAAGCATTTCTGATCTTTCAAAGAAATCGTAAGCACATTTAACCAAATAAAAATAATAATTTATTAAATCTCACGCGTTAAGCTTATTTCAATTTTTTTCTAAATTTATTTAATAATAATAAAATATCCGTATTTGGATAAATCAATTTGTCAATGCACGGTATTGAATTATATAATATTGCATATATTTTGTTTTTCAACAAATAATATTTTACTAATGAACAATAATTATAATTAAATATGTATAATAAAGACGTCCTATGATATTGAGGATTAGTGCAGCCACTGTTTTAGATAATTTAATGTATACCTGTAAGCAAAAATAAACCATTGCTTACGAAAAAACTATTCTGAGCGGAGATTATTTAATAGTGATGCTTTGTCATCAATTTATAAGTCATTTTATAGTGAAATAATTACATAGACTTTATATATTTTCTTTAATAATATTTTCTTAATGTACACATTTTTCCAGTTTCTCTAGTTTTTCCAGGTTTTCCTATGTTTTTTCCCGGTTTTTCAAATTTGATGAGAAAACTATAAAAAAATCGAAAAATGACCTTCTCAAAGTACCTCTCCACGCCGATTTGCATTCAGAATATTATTACATGTAGAAATCTGAGCAAGTTTCCTAGTAAAAAAGTTGCGCACAGAAAAAAAAACATCATTATATAACTTTAAGCTTCTTCAATTCACTCAGAATTTAAAATGAATTATTTTAATGGCATTAATTTTAATTAATATTCATGTTTTTATATGTTGTTTTTTCTAGTTAAGGATTTTAGAGGTATTGTTTTTTTAATACAGTAAATAAATTTAGTTTATAATATTGCAGGACATATTTTATAGTTTTAAGAAACAATATAATGAATGATAGACGAGTGTACATAACAATGATGAACTAGGCCATAGTTTTAATTGATTTTCTATAACTACATAATAGTCAAGCCTGGGTCATTCAAATTTCATGACAAATTTACGTTTATTTATAAAACAGTAGTTTTATTAATGTAAATAACCCTCGTACATATTACATTGCCAATGATTTCCGAAAAAATGAATCTGTATTTAACCAGGCAAAAATAATATATGTTTTTTTAATTTCACGCGTAATACGTAATGTTTTAGTTGTTTTCTGAATTTATTTAATCACACCGCAATATCTGTACTGTGTTTAAACATTTATCAATNAAATATTAATAAAACCATTTGTGAACTTCAACACACTTGTACATCTTCCCGTCAAAAGGTTATTTCCGAACGACCCGTAATACAATAGATATTATATTGAGTTATTTTACTTTCACAATTAAACATTCATTGTTCGATGTGTTGCCTCAAATAGATATTCATTTAGAATATTTTCAATATTACCCATTGGATGTGCGAGTGCTAAAAATATGCGATTGTACTAAGAAGATTAAAACATAATCTTCATTCAACTTTGGTTCAAAATCGAACAAGCAATTTAGCTTTACTTAACATGAAGTATGAAGCTGTATGAACGATCTTATCAACAATTTTTGCAAAGCTATGTTTGTAAAAATTCTTAACTATTATTTTATATACTTACCATTAATTTTGTTGTATTTGTAAAAATGGTGTATTTTTTTTTTTAATAAAATAATTTGTAATTAAAAATCAATATGGGCCGGTTATCTTTTATCGCAAGTGAGCGGTTTGTAAATTTGGGGTATGTTCATTATACATTTTGTACGATGCTCTTCTTATGAATTTGCCGACTTTATTTGAACCTATAAATCCGCCACTGATATTCGTCGTATGATGATTGAAAATAATTTATATAATGTATATATTTATGAAGCTTAAAACTTATGAGTGTCTTAAGGCACTTTGATGCAATATAAGAGGAAATGTTCAGCGTAGACGTCAGAGTAGTAATTAAATCTTTAACAGAAGTATCTGATAACAAGGAAGATTCAGAATTGTATACGAATACTCAATGTTAGAGTGCCTTTTACTAAATGACATAGACTTGCATTTGTTGATATTTTTCAAATATATATATAACAGAATAATGAACGTTTTCTGTAATATATATTACTACCCTCGAATTTTATAATCTTAAATTTTAATTATACTTATTATTAATATTCATTTTTTTTTTACTTTTGTACCAGTACCAAGAAGTGCAGCAGGTAAATACTAATATCAAAAATATAAAACAAAATTTTAAAATATAAGTTAAATAAAATTAAAATGGATAATAATTTAGGTATATTGAATATATATTTCAAATGAATATATTTAAAATGCATATCCAAAGTATTCTATTTAATAATGATAATAAGAATAAGGAATTCACAAAGAATGATTTTATTTTACCAAATAATTTCTATTGGCAAATAGCATGCGTTAGATGCATTATATTTTTCTTGTTTGATTTTCAAAAATTAACAATGACATTTAATTACTCTATTATATATGTATTTTCCCACAAATTTGAGATAAAATGCAATTCATATCAAATATTCGCTGACGCGCATATCGTTGAAAACACCGTGTGAATGAATAAATTATAATTACCTATGTAATATTATAGCGTTTAAATGCCAAAAATTAAACAGGGGCGTTCAAAAGGGCTATTCTGTTAATATCAAATAACATTTTTCAATGTTAAAACGTCTATAAACGTTAATGTTCAGTTGAATTTGAAAGGTTCTTAAAATAATGTTTAATAGTACTAAATTAAGTGTTTTTTTTTTTTAAACGTTTACATTAAAAAAAATTCTTAGTGTTATACAAACACTTAATTTATATTAGATTATAAATATTAAAAAGTCAATTTATATTAAATGCTGTATAAACTTATAATTATTATCATTTAAATAGAGTGTCATAAATAATGCTTAATTAGCCAAAATTTATAAGTAATAGGTTACTTAGTTGACATTTTTCACACATTAAATTAGAATTGCATTGTTAATGTATTAATTTAAGTCCAGTGGCGGCTTAATAGATTTCAAGATTAGGTGCAGAATTTTACGGGGCTTCATATTTATTTATGTAATTAAATATTTGTTTATTTTATTTTCTAACGGACTTACTTTATTTTCATACAATTTTAGAAACTTGAAGGTCTTGTTTAAATTTGTGTACCTAAATGTAAACTAATAAAATCAAATGTGTATTTTTATATTAGTAATAACATGAGTAGGTACCTATTGGAGTACAAACAATATTTTTATATTTATTTAAATATTTTAGTATGTATAAATTAATTATTTTATCAGGTTTGTACAGTTGGTACTATCTTGATTTTCGTCAATGATAACACGTGTCCTAAGAAAACCACACGGTCACACGGCACAAATTTCCTTTCATATTATCTCGAGCCTCGTACACATGTGCGAGCCAGGCCTACCGCAAGCCGCTCGCGAAGGGCTCGTGTCATATTCGTTATGCCACGCACACACTTACGAGCCGCTCGCGAACCAATACTGACAACGAACCAACAACGAACGCATACCGAAGTACCGGCAGTATTTTTTGTCTACTAGTAACTAATGTCTTCTGAAGATTATGCGATGCTGGTAATGAGTAGTGCGACTATATTGATGGCCTATTTGGAAGAAAAACAAAAAAAAAGGCGAAAACAATGACGTTGGTGACAGAATGATTTGTACAAAAAAAAGAATGGTTATTATTGGATTTAAAGTTACAGCAAATAAGCGGTCAGTACAAAGATTTTACTAGAATGTCACCAACTGATTTTGAGAATCTGAACAAAAGAAACAAAAAATTGAACCCAGAGTTTCTAAGCAAGATACAAATTTTCGCTCTCCAATTTCGGCTCAAGACAGGTAGACAGGTGATTTCCCTCTATGCATGCTCCTTAAAATGTTTTTTAAAATGATCCTTATGATTAGGAGCCCACAGTAGTTTTTTTTTGTAGATATCAATAAGACGAATTGTGTCTTCCTCTAACCACTCCATAATAAAAATAACTGTGTTTATCGTTTAAAATAATAGCATTAAAACGACGAAAACTGACGAACCTGTCAACATGCCTACCGAACTTACACTCGCGTTATGCTCGTCAAAAACTGACTATCGATGGGTAGGCGCAAGCGGTTCGCGAGCGGCTCGACACGCCGTCAAAGTTATTGTTGCAATCGGTTTGCAAGTGACTTGTGGTAGGCTCAACTCGCACATGTATACACGGCTTTACATATACTTATTATCTATACTTATCATATTAATATCTCTAAAATCTAAATGATTATATTACAATTCAAAATTAATTCTATGTTTCTATATAATATTCAACCTTAGACGCATTTAATGATAATAATATATAAGATATATTTTTTCTACTATCAGGTATGTCCCAATATATGCCCGCAGCTGCATAAACAATCTATATAATTATAGCAATATTAGTTTTCCAAGAATAGACACAACCGTTACTAACACCCGATTGATTATACATCTTAGAAGTCGCCAAATCGGAAAAATGTATTAATATAAATAAATATTATTACGATTAAATGCACGCCACGAACACTACAACGGATCCAACGAGATTTACTTATCATATCCATACATGAAATAACATACACCAAAAAAACATAAGTATAATTTGTTATTATATTAATCCTTTAGACAAGGGTTTATTCAATCTAATTGTTGGGTTCAAATTAGTTCTATGCTAAGTTCAATAAACATTCATAGTTCAATCAAACCTCAACATAATTTAATTATGAACATTGAAAGTAAAACATTAATTAAATGTTATGTCAAAATTCGCTTGTTATGTGGGTAAAACTACGTCATGTACATGCTCACTTGGCTTACTTAATTGACATACTGCTATTTTACTAGTGAAACCACGGTCAAGAGACCCGGCTGGGATTAATTTCTTGGTTGTATATCCGTGGTTTACTGAGGGGCCCGGGAGAGCTGCTTTATCCCTAAAGCTTGCTAGATTGCACAGGCCTTTTTTTGGCGCTGGATACCAGTAGCGTTGCTGATTTCTCTGCGACATTGTGTAATTTTTCGCTGGGCGAGCGAGTGTCCGTACTTTCTCACTGAGGTTGTATCCGGCGAGAGATCGAGACTACAGGCTCGCCTCTCCACGTAGTCGTTCGGAGGTTCTTTTCGCGGTCTGATCGTTGGGTCACACCGTTCCGGACGGCCAACTTACCTCTGGCAACGCATATTGTGTTATCAAGCGCGTATTAGGAGAGACCTGACTGCCACCGATTATTCCGTCGATGGTGGTTGGGTATTAAAATATGTCCAACTTTTGACATCTATGAAAAATAGTCCGGGTGGTTTTCGAGCCCCGGTGTCGACCCTGTCCGGCGCCCAACAGAGGACCTGGTGCCGGACTCGCACACGGTGAATGAAGTTGGATTCGGAAGGATTTATGAGTTTTGTTGTGTAGTGGTTAAATAGCCAGAAGCCGTTGGTGACTGAACCTGTGAGCAGACTGTCAGTGAATTAGGTAGCAGGTGCTCAGACAACACTTTGATGTGTTGAAATGCATCCGTGGTTCGCCCTGAACTTCCGTGGCTCGTGAGTAACTATTATAGCTAATAGACTGTCCACGGATTTACCGTGCTTTTAGGACGGTTTAAAAATTTGTTGTACTTCTATTCCACTATAATTTTCACTTGGCGTATTTTGCGTATTATTGCGTACTCGGCTTTCTTAAAATATGTCACTTACGATATGTCTGGAGGTAATACATTTGTCTTATTTGTCGTTTTTTCTTGAATATTTTTGATTTAATTATCTTGCAAAGTGGTTATCATTAACTGTTATTGTCATTATTATTATTATTATTATGATTTTTTGGATTCTGAGTGTAGCGAATATATTGATTTTACTTAGATGTTTATTTTTCTTTTTCTCTTTTCTTTTTTTATACTGTGTACAAAAATTCTGCTAGAAATATTGCTCAGATATATACGCGTGGCACTATTTCTGAAAAGGAATTTTATCCAGATGGTACCTTTTAGAGGTTTTTTTTTGATTTTCCAAGCGATTTTCATAATATCTGGGAAAAACCAGGATAAAGCATAAGAAAAACGATAAATGTACGAAATTATTACTTTTATTATTTAATCAATTTTGTGATTTGTTGTAATTCAGTTAAAAATACTTATTGAGACTTGTATTTTAGACAAAAAACTTAAACTTGTCTTTTCTAGACGTGGTCGAATATTCAAAATATTTAAGTTTTTTTTAAAGTATTTATAGGCATTTTAATTTTGAGAGTTTTATACGTAATGATTATTCGATAGGTACTTAGTGGTAAAATTGTTAAATTCGAAAAGAAATGATTTACAATTTAACAAGTTTATTAACAGTCATACTTTGTAGCCAAAAAAAAAATCTGATTTTAATGTAGTATTTTTTTTTTAACCTAACCTTGACCATTTAAGAATGATCGTAATATGAAATTATAGCTTTTTAAAGTTTTGATACTAAGCGGATATTACATGTTTTGTTAATAACTCTATATTGTCCTTTTTAAAGCATATATGTCGTGATTTACTGGTTATTTATGCCTTTTATCATTTCAGAGAATCCGAGTTCAAACTAGTGTTTTTTTACTTAAACAAGGAAAAAATAAATGCATTTTGGATGTACCTAGAGACCCAAGCCATCGATCCCTCGAACTATTTTAATCGCAAAATAACCCTCGATTTGTTGTACAAATTTTCTACCAGAAATATTGCTCCCATGTATTAAGTGTAGCTTATTTTTTGACAGAAAATTTTAACTCCATAGTAATTTAAAGAAATCTTTTTTTGATTTTTCAAGTGGTTTTTATAATATCTGGGAAAAATCGTTAAAATCGGAAAAAAAACCGGAAAATATACAAAATATATTTCTTTTCTTTTCAGTTAACAAAATTTCCACCAGCAATTTTGCTCCGATTTACAATCATAGCACTTTTTCTGAAAGAAAATCTGACTAAAAAGTTGATTTTTTGCAACAGCTCAAATTATTGATAAAGATGCCCATCTCGATGTTTGAATAATAACAATGAAATAACTGATAATACATAGGAAAACTAGTAAACATTTTTTTTTTGGACAAAATTTGTGTTATAATATTTTTACATAATAACTGTAAAAACTACGTTCCACATGATTCATGATTCGACTGCACTGGACAATTTTTCGGGCAATATAACCTGTCCACTTAAGGTGCAACGGTGCAGTAAGATAGGAAACTCTATTATACACACATGATAATAAACTTTTTATTTTCTCACGTATTCAATCATTGACCGTGCAATAAGTGTGTTACAATTATGTCGTTATTTTTATAGCTGGCCAATATCCATCATGTTTAATGCCGTAAACATGTATAACATGTGGAGTAATGTTATAGCATAACGATGATACACTTAAATTATGTTTGGTGTCCAAAAATTGAGCATATTTTTTCTGTAGAAACTAAATAAAATTACTTTAAAAAAAAAGTATATCTAATAATACAAAATCAATATAATCTTGCACAAATTGCTTAAATTCCAAACAAAAAATTTTTAAATTCAAAACAAAAGAAATTATATCACAAAATAAAAATTGTAATAATCAAAATTCTGAAGGTCTTTTGAAATCAGTTTCTATTATAAGTTTACAATTTGATAATTTTACTGATTTTACCGAGACAATCGAAAGTATTATAAATGAACTTAAATTAGTAGTTATATTTATTAAACTCGAAAATTAAAAATTAGTATCCAAATAGTATAGATTTATTCTTTCAACGGGGTAGTAAAACGTCTCATGAAAAGCATGTCTTAGGCCTCTTCTCGGACCCTGATTTGACTTCTTTTTTGGTTTTTATTTTGTCAGTTTTCGGTATTTTTTAATTCATATACTTATAAGTTTTTATGTTTCAAATATAATATTAACATTTTTTATTTAGTTATTTCGTAATAACTTAGTTTATTAAATTGTATTTTTTCCATGGCATAGGTAAATTATTTTCAAGTTTTTTAGTCGAGCTTCAGTTATCAAATTCATGACTTGCATTTATCCGTTAAATAAAAATCATTTTAATCTAATATAACACAAAGGACAGTGAAAGACATTGTACCAATTTACTATCGTGACATAGTCATCTCTGAGTATATTCGGTATAAGCAAAGAGAAAAGTAGAAATAACATTCAGCTAAATTAGAACGTAAAATAAATCGTCATAGACAGAATTGTTTGAAATATTATCCTATACAATTTTGATCCATTGAGAATGGTAACAAATCGAACAGGGACGTTCGTTAAGTTTAGATTTTGATGCATGCGAAAATCAGGAAATGTATCTGTTGTCGAATTAAATGTTGAATCACCAGTTAACCAATTAACTACTGATAATAGGATACTTGGTTATCTTGCTCTAAAATGTAACATTCACGTCAGTTCGATCGGTGAGGATGTGGATTATGACGGTGAGGATGTGGATTATGACGGTGACTATGATATAAACTGCAAAGAAATTAGTTATTTATGAATAATTTATAATCTATTATTTAAATAAAATAATTAACAAGAAAAATGTATAATATTCCTATCATAACTCTGGTCATTCAATAAGGTTGTGTGGATCAGCTCTGTCGTGATCTTTACATTCCTCGATGTTCGACCTACACCGTTAAACATCGAAGAAAGCTGACCATTGGCCGCTTAGTATAAAACAATCTCCGTTGAATACAATTATTTTAACACCAACAACAAAGCTCATGTTTAATATCGTATAATATGGACTAGCCATATGAAATAAAATAGCACTCAGATATTTATTGCAGAATAATAAACATTTTCTGTATAATATACTATTTATTCTCTTGAATTTTTTAGTACAACATTTAAATAATAGTTATTATTAATATTATTTTTTTTAAAAAACTAGGATCATTATCTCAAAAACCATCACGTAAGTTATATTTTAAATATTTCATATAGTCTAGCGAATACTAAATTGTATTGCTCTCTACTCCTCCCTGATCCCAGCTAACCTCTCCACTTAAGTGTAACTATCTCCTTCTAAGGACGTCAGTTATATAATATTATGTTTGTATGCGATTTATTAAATTATAATATTTATGTCCTGAGCTTTTAGTTCACATCAATTTCCGTATTCCCTCTTACTATTCGAGATAACATGTTCTTTTTGCCATTCCATACTTTAAGTACAAATGAGGTAAAGACTACTTCTTTGTTAGAGCCCTGAAACTAGCTAATTCAGTTTCCACCGCTTTAGATTTCTTTGGTACAACTCGATTTATATTTAGATTTAAGTCCATTTTATTTTTAAAAAAAGTAAAATAAAATTAATTATTCCTAGCACATCAATTATTTCTTTAATATTTTCTTATATATATTTCTTTGTGTTTTTGTTTGTTTTGCTTGTTTCTTGTTGAAGATTAATTTCTAACTATCAACTATAAGTTTATAAGCTTATATACTTTCTTAAACTATTTGTATACATAATATTTTTCTCTTTTTTTGTATTTTTTTTTTTTTTGTACAAAATTGGTCAACATACTACACACGATATTGTAAAAAGGTTAGCCTCATTGAATTCTAAAAAAATAATTAAATAACCGGTGATACGGTTATTATAGCGTGTAACAAAAAAATGCAATAATATTATTCGAAACCTTACAATTAGCATTCAAGAAATAAACTTTAAATCTTGATTAAAAAATTGAGGCCAAAGGACTTTTATTGATTATCGTTAAATATTTTAGTTTAATGTTTTTATTTATACACTTTTAACATTAAGTATTTATTTTTGTAGTTATTGCTTATACCTATAACATAGCCGCCCGAAATCCTGTTGCGGGTGTAGATGCATGGAACCCTCACCGACTACCTCTTCATTGACCTATATTTTCTCCCACTCCCTTTTTTCAACATTTTTTTTTTTAAAGTATTTTTTCCCATATTATTATTATTGACTACTTACTCGAATTACTTATTTTGTTTTTTTCTTGATTTTTTAAAAATGTTTTAAGCCCATTTTTGAAAAAGATTTTTTTGTTATTGACCATCGACCTTTAACGGGACGTGCGACAAGGCCAGCACGTTATTATACTTAAATATACAAAACAGAGATAAGCTGGTACAGAATTGACTAAAGTTAGATTTTCGCGCAATACATATATACAAATGAAAATAGTAACAAAAGGAAAATAAAAACAGTATAATCGGAAACTTGATCACACGGGTGTACATAAACAAATGGTTGCTAACCTATAAATTGATACAAAAAAAAACATGTTATACAAAGCTATTAGGAATAGTTATAGTTATAGTTTATAGTTATTATTATTATTTTTTTTTTTAACCTAGGATATTCATCTCGAAGATCATCACGTAAGTTATATTTTAAATATTTCATATAGTCATACAGTTTGGTATCAACTGTATTGAACTATTTTCTTCTTCTTTTTGTATTCAACTCATATGGTTGGTTTTGCAGTTAGGCATGCGCTCTCAACTCCTCCCTGTTCCCAGCTAACCTCTTACCTTCAGTTTAATTTACTCCTTCTAATACGTCAGTTATATGATCCTATGGTCGTATACGATTTATAAAATTACAATATTGTATCTCCACTAGATATCATATCATGATCAGAATTAGTTTTGTCAGTAATCAAATAAAATTCGTTTTGAACCTCAATAATACTAATCATGTATGAGTATAATATATATTATAAATATGATTAAATTATATGAATTGTGAATACAATAGATTCAACTTAATGTGGGTATGTTAGGAACATATACATTTTTCGACATCCAGGCAGTTGCCCATTTTAACCGAAATGAGTATCATATATATTAGAATCGGAATCAGACTATTATACCCATATTAGGTAGCTGTCCGCATTAACCCGTAGCCACATTAAACGGAGTCCACTGTATTCCTTTAATTATTTTGTGTAGGTGAACTAATAAACGATGCGTCAGGAAGTAAGTTTAGTTTCATTAATAATCAATTAAGTCCTCAAAAGAAAGTTAATTTAGTAAGATATAAAGTAAGTACGTCGTTATTACCGTACAAGATTAGCTTTAGTACAAAATTATATTACGATAACAATGAGGTGCCCATTCCATTATTATATTTCCTCTCTAGTTATTATTATTGAGCATGTTTTGAATGTTTTGGAAGGATAACTAGGTTTAATGATAAGCAATTTCCCTAAATAAGTTTATGTATTAAAGTTAGATTGACACACTTAATGGGTTTCAGTTTTTGTAGTATAGTAAAAAACTTATATTTAAACTATGCTATTCATGAGCTCGAAACAATTATATTTTAACTAAAATGTTTTCTGTAACCTACATAATCATATGAGATATATGAATATCGCTTGTTATTTTTTTTTTAATAAATATTATTCCACTTATGATTATGAAATTTTTTTCGGAAAGGTATTATATTTTAATGAATTTTTTCTTATATATAAATTTTAATAATATATATGATATTTTTTTCAATTCTCGTGTAATCTAGATTTTTTTTATAGAAGTTTCCATTGTATTATTTTAAATATATTTTTAATAATAAATAAAATAAATTAATTTGTTTAATAAATGTAGTTTTTAATATTACCAGACATATTTTATAGAGAACATTGTATTATAATTAATTGTAGACGAACGGAAATAATAATGATTAACCGGGCTGTTGGGTACCGAACGTGTTATCGGAAGCACATGGTTCCCGCCACCGATCATAGGCCCAAATTTGACCTTACTGCACTATGCACCGACACCATGGCACAACCTAAGCGGCTAATCAGTTGCCGTTATCCCGGTTATTGCCCGGTATTCGGTTTCTGCGTCTTCTGTTATCGCACTACAACGATCGCAAAATTGCCCATCATCGCCGTCGTATGGTCGTACGTCCGCCGTTGTATTACAACTGAATTGTTTTTTTGTCGTTACCGTGTGCGTATTTAGCCACCTGTTAGTACGACCGCTCGTTATCGCTTAGCCGACTCATTATTAGCCGGAAACCATCCGTTAACCTATTGCCTACGGAAATTCCGGGTGACACTCGCCATAATTTGTATTCATTTTCGATACTACGTATCTTATATGCTCGGGTTATTTTAGATTTCGTGCCCAATTTACGTTTAAATATAAAACGGTAATTTTATTTATTCTATAAACAATTGTTTTACATTTTCAAATGTTACTGTTGTGCCAAAAAATTGTATTCATATTTAACCAAATAAAAATAATATCTTTTAGAAAAAGTTTTAAAACTGAAGTTCACGCATTAAGTCAATATCAGTTTCCTGCTTTTGTTTTGCCCTAAGTTTATGTTATAATACTATAATATCCGTATTGGGATTCTACATATAATAATGAACTGTATTGAATTTTATTATCTTAATAATATCCAACTCATCGTACTCATATATATATATATATGTATATACTCTGTCTTGAAAGTGTCAAGGACTTCATAAAAGCTTGTAATCCTCCAAAAAAAAGGTGCTCTATAATCTCATATTTACGTTAGATTTTTTCACCCTTATTTTGGGCGTATTATTACTATCTACTTTTGATTTCAAATATATATTATATTAAAAATTCCATAATTAAATAATATAGTATAAAAAATTATTGATTGACGTTTATCCGTTGACGAGATATTCCACTTTTAATTATTTTTGGGAGAGATTAGTAGAGCAACGTTTGTGTGGCAGTACGACGCGCAGCATGTTTTAAATGCACAAAAACTCTCTCCCAACACATAATTAAAAGTTGAACATTTCTTTAACGGATTACGTAAATTAAACTTTTCAATGAACAATTTCAACTATTGTTCTATTTGTAACTATAGTTATCCTAACTATTGTTCAAACTAATTATGTAATTTTTAATAAAGGTTGCCGTTTTGTAGTCAAAAGTAGATTTTACTGTCAAAAATAATACTGGCAAATAAAACATAAATATAAAATTGTGAAACAGCTTCTTGATATTCTTCCTTTTTTTTTTACTCTAGCACCAGCACTTCAAATACCACAATGTAAGTTATATTTTAAGTATTTCATATATTCTAGCCGTTATTAAAACTGTATTGAATTATTATTTATCATCCTTACGAGTTCCGATTTATTGTATGAATAATTCATACAATAATAACTGGTCATTTAATAAGTATGTGCGTAATACCTCTGTTGTAGTTTCTGTGTTTTTTGATGTTAGAACAGCACCCCTGAGTTCCGATGAAAACTGACCATTGGCCACTTAGTATTAAACAAACTTTTTCTGAATAAAATTAATTTGGTACTAACAACAACGAAGCTCAAATTGAATATCGTATACTTTAAACCAGCCATCAGAAATTAAATAATATTTATTTCTTTATAGCAGAATAATAAACATTGTATGTGATATATTTACTATTGATAGTGTTGAAGTATAATATTAAAAATTTAAAGATACCTATGATATAAATATATATTGTACTTTTTTCTATTCTAAAACCAGCGCCTCAAAATGTACCATGTAAGTAATATTTTAAATATGTAATAAAGCTTAATGCTACTTATTATGATAATAATTTTTTTTTTTTACTCTTATGCTAAAAATTCAAAGTTTTCTTTGTATTTTATATTTTAAATATTGCATAAAGTCCAGTGGTTACCAAACTTTATTGAACTATCTTTTTCTTCTAATCGTATTCGACACTTATGGTTGGTTTTGCAGTTTGTTTCATTGTACCTTAATCTCGAAAATCATGCGTTTGACTAATGAAGTTCTTAAGGAGGAAAGACATCACTAACACAGTTGATATTTATTACATAAAGAAAATATTTACTATGAATTCCCTTTTTGATATTGGAAAATCGAATTTGTATTGAGAAGTTGAAAAATATATTTGTCAGTTCACCGTTAAAAATATGATTTGGTATTGAGATTTGCAAAAGTTGATTTGATGCGAAATGCCGAAAAGTTGTTGTGAGAAATATGTATATTATCAAATATCAACAAGACTAACAACTCATCAGTTTTCATAAAAACAATTTTTTTTCTCTTAAATTTTCATATAATAAATATTATGTTATAATATTATTAAAACCCCACACAAAATAAATAAGTCAGTTTAATAACCTGAATCTACAATTTTTATCTTTTATATTATATACATTAAAAACCGTTATAATCCGTTACATCGACTAGAAAACGTTAATTTTAAAAATTAAAAAAAAAAAAACTTGTCAATTTCACACGTAAATAGTTGGACATACCTCTAGTATTTCTTCTGAAATTCGTCATATAATAGCGAATTGATGCTGAAACATGAAAATTACCAAAGATAATGACGAAACAATTTCGCAACAATTTTGACAAAAACGATGATTTACAATTTTGTATTTGTTTCTAAAATAACCTGTTTATTTTAGAAGATAAAATACAAAATTTATTCTCGCCTGACAGTTTTTCAAATGTTTTCTCTCAGATATAAATTGAATTTTTTAATTATAATCCAAAAGACATGTTATATTTGATTTATAATGGTATCACAACTTTAAATAATAACAATAAAAGGCATGATATTGCGTTTGTATAGATTTAAAAAATAAATTGTGTTCGTATGAAATTTTGATATTTATGTTAAAAAAATAAATATTAAATTTGAATGAATTAAAAAGATTAACAATTATAAATGATAATAATAAAAATAAAAAAACAGATATATAAGGCTAGAAAATCTTATATTAAAAGATAATTTATGTGTTGGTGTTTTAGGTTTAATTATTGCCTCAAATTTAATAAATATAGAAACAGATTGTTTGCTAAAAATTAAAGTTAACATAATTGAACTAGAAATTGGAAAATAAACTATAGATGAGTTAAAACAAATTGTTAATCTTTTTATAATTTCTCTAGAGGGAGATAAAATTTATTCAATTTTAATATTTTTTAAATTTAGATGAAGAATTAAACAAATATTTAGGTGTTGGTTGTGAAAGGAATAGGTATTTTAGTATATTGAAAGATATAATTTTTGGAATTTTAATTTACCATTGAAACTTATAATATTTGATCCTGAAGACAAAGTTTTACAAATCAATCAAAAATGTGAATTTATTGTTGGACGAAACGGTCATATAACAAGATATATCCAGCCAGTTAGATTGTATTGACAACGATTTGAATTATTGTATTTCTAAAATATAATATATGTCTATAAATTGTCCAAATATATAGATATTAAATAATTAATTATTTAATTATTAACAATAATAACAATAATTCTGGTGGTTTAAAAAGCCTGTGCGAAACAGCTCTGTCGTGCCCTTTTCTATGTTGGATTTTATAACTTCTCCCACTACAATCTAGCGAAATCACGGTAAAGGAAACAGAATGAGACTAATTTCTTGGGCCGATTCCAGGTGATTTCTTGGATAGGCCGTGAGACCTGCTTCATTATCCGAACCGACTAGATGGCACAGACCTGTCCACGATTCTAAATATTAATAGCGTCGTGAATTTATTCCGACCGGACCGTGAGCAGACGACGAGGTGAATTGTGTAGCGAAGCTGGGGCCATGCTTTGGTACAGCTAGTACACCTGATGCTTGCCTTGACTACCCGTTGGGTTCTTGAATAGCACACAATGTTAATAAAGTTCGGCAGTGGTATTTTAAAAATTAGAGGTCTATTTTTTCCGCTATACGTCCCTGCAAGTAACCGTTGAACATCTAGTGCAAAATGATTTAAGTGTATATTTTGTCACCTTATTTTTGGGGGTATAATAAATATCTAATTTTTATTTCAAATATAGGTTATATTAAAAATTCCATAAATAGATAAAATAAAAAAGTAAATTTTCGTTTTGAAATTTTGAAATTTTTAATTTCCGTCCTTCTGATGTCGAGATATTCCACTTTTAAGTTTTGGTTGGAGGAGAGTAGTAGAGCACCATTTGCACGGCATTACGACGCACA